AGACAGTTTTTTTTTTATATATATATAGTGATAGGATGTTCTAACCAATATTTTGATCTTGAACCATCTTTACATACCTGGAAGAAAACTCTTAGCATAGGAGTTGGTCATAGCACATCACTGCGTTGCTCAGTCAGTGTGGCAGTGGACGTTTGCTACCACTGTTGGTAGTAGCAAGAATGAAATAACTTGGTACCGTGTGAATAAGTCATGATGCTAGCCTTCAATTCTTAGCTTTTCTGCCGTGTCTGCTAAGTGCCTACGTCACAGTTAGGCCAGGTCGGTGGAATGAGTTAGGAAGACGCTCTTGGTTTATAGACTAGACCGTTTAATAACATAAGGATGTATCCCTTGAAGATTTAAAACAAGAACAAATAAAAACTTGCTCAGGAAGCTAAGTGGACAAGGCCCTTATTTTTAATAGAGACATTTTTAATAGAGGAGCTCTACTTCTCCAAGACTGTCGGGCTACTGGTATTTTCTAGCTGCTCTTGTGTTAATTACGGTAATTTACGTTTTCCTAGAAAATCGAACCTTTTGTTGAGAATTTCATATTTAGAAGTGTGCAGTTTATATTCTTCTTTATAAATGTTATTTTTCTATGATTTTAGTTATATCTTTGTTCATTCTTTATCTTTTTAAATTTTAACATAATTTCTTTATTAATTCTTTGGGAGTTTCATATCATGCACCCTAATTTTCCTCACCTCCCAGTCCCCCATATCCTCCCCTCACCCCGCAGTGCTCCCCAAATAGAAAATTTTAAAAAACCAAACCAAAACAAAGCAAGCAAGCAAAAACAAAAACAAGAACAAAACAAAAACCCTCTTCTCTTCTCTTCTCTTCTCTTCTCTTCTCTTCTCTTCTCTTCTCTTCTCTTCTCTTCTCTTCTCTTCTCTTCTCTTCTCTTCTCTTCTCTTCTCCATCTTTCCCGCCTCTCCAACCCCTCTTCATTCATCTGGTGGCATTGGGAGCTGCAGTGTGTCACAGTGGACCCTTTTGTCCAGTCAGCTTTACTAGCAGATGTTCATTGCAACAAGTCACTGGTCTGGTTCAAGGCCTCTGGTGTCTGGTGCACCATCGTCACTGGATCCTCACTGGAACTCCTCTGGGATACCCCGAGGCCGCCTCAAATCACAGAGATCCTGCCAGTATCATTCCACAGGACCAGATCCTTCACGAGCTCCAGCAGGTCCTAGATGGGGTAGACGTTAGGGTGGCCAACCCCAGGCCTGGGTGGTAGCTGAGCTGGTCAGTCCAGGCCACTGGGGTCACCCGCCTCAGGCGAGGAGGCAGAGCCAGCTCCCCAATGCCCATGCCATGAGGGTCAGTTCCCCCTTACCTGTAGTGAGGGGTGGGGCCATCTCTCTGGAGTGCAGGGAGCCAGCTCTCTTGCTACCGTGTACAGCAAGAGGCAGGGCCAGCTTTCCCAGGGCCTGCGAAGGACAGGGTTGGCTCAGCACAGTCCTCTGATTTCATCACGCATGGTTCCTATGGCCCCTGAGGTGACACAGACCTCAGACATCAACACAGAGCCCAGCTGCAACTGCACCACAGACCCAGACATGGCCCTCAGCAGTAGCTTGGGCCCATTTATCTTGATAATTCTTCAGGATTTGTTTTGTCTTGACTTAGATCTGTCTGTTTTATTGGTCTTTTCAGGCGAGACTGGGTCCATTCAGGGTGGTCTGGCTAAAGATGTCACTTCATTTTCAAACAGTGACTCCCGGTTGTACCTGGGGTGGTGCCTGTCTTTTTGTTTCCTCTTTTACGTATCGATTCCTTCCTCCTTCCCCGAGTTTCTTTTATTGCTTTTTCATCCAGCCTTCTGAGTCGAGCTCTTTGCCAAGGTTCTGATTTTCTGAACCTTTGTTTGAAGGATCAAGGTTTTAAAGTGTGTGTACCAGCAGCAAAGACTGTTGACCAAACATGACCCAAAGGGCAGACACTGGTTGAAGAATGAGCCGGATCCCAGGAGGCAGGTGCCCCAGAGTCCAGGCCAAGCCTTGCTCAGATTCTCTGAGTTTCCATGGGTACACCCTGCCCTTCTCGGGGCCTGGTCTCCGTCTCGGGCAGCTGGGGAGTGCATGAGCAGCTGTACTAGGTGGGCCTCACCACACACCCTCCATATTCCGGGGAACATGTCTGGCACCCCTCTTTTGTCTTTACCCTCAGAAAAACATGTTCACTATAAAAAAAATCTATGTAGTCAAATTTCCTTCTGGAAGACGGAGCCAGTACGTAATGGTGATGGTGTCCCAGCTGAGAGATGGGACTTGAGGAATCATGGCCAGAAGTACAGATAGTCCCAAAGCAAGGGAGAGTCACGGATGGATTGACTAGCCATGCAGACATAGACACTGGCTCATTGGGGACATCTTGTTTCCTGTAAGAAAGGACTCATATCAATACCTCAGCTCCCCGGGTGGTTGAGGGCTACAGGCATTAACCTTTTCAAAATCTTGGCAAGAGCCTCGCATTTCCTAATTTCTTTGTAAGTGTTCTTTGCATGCGATTGTCATCATTAGATGGGAACCTGGGGTCAGGGACAGGGTGGGGAGATGCTGCCCAACTTGGTGGAGATGCTCCCACGATCGACAGAAATGCCCCTCACCAAAGCAGGCCCTGACTTTGGCTTTCTCACAGCCTGGCTACTGACATCTCAGCCCTGTGCCGAGTAGTCCGATTGGTGCCCACTCCCCTTCCTGAGACAGCGTCACAGCTCTCCGCCACCCCCATCCCTGGTCACTGACTCTGTAAAGGAGACTGAGGATGAGATGGCCTTGGGCTGGGGTAGGCATGGGGCTGAGGTGTCTGCTCTGCCACAGTCCTTGTGGACCCCAAGCCAGTCAATCCCCTTCCTCCACCAGGCCTGTTTTCCATCTGTAAAGTGGCAAGAAGAGCCTGGTCCAGGGTCCCCTCTTGAGTCTGTCCTTGAACAGGAGTGGAGGGGGCTGCATGGACCCCCAAGACCCTTGCTTCTCCAGCAGAGTGGCTTCTTTCACTAAAATGATGTAGATCTGTGCACTTCTGACCTGGGGGTACAAAGACTTGACTTGGAGCTCCGACTCTGCTGAGAGGCACGGGAAGCCTAATAGGGCAAACCTCCTCCATTGCCTCCGGGCCTGCAAGGTGGAGCTTTCAGTTTCGGCTTGGCCCTCCTTGAGAGGCTTGCCTGGGTGCAGTTCATGCCGAAGATGAGGGACTCCCAGAGTTAATCCTGGGGTGTTGGCTCAACTCCAACATCTCATGTAAAGACACGTGAGTCAGGGTGCCCAGCCCAAAGCCAGGGAGGTGATGAGCTCGGGCAGGAAGGGGACTTCTTTTGGGGATTGTCAGGAGTTCTTGAAGTTCTGGAAGGTTGGCAGACTGGGAGTTGAGGCAGCTTCCAGGATGGTCACTGACGGGGGGCACTAGAAGGGCTGTGGAGTCACTCATGTTCCTGTTCTCACACTACACACTGGATTCTGTTCTTTGGGGGGGGACATGGTCAGAGATGACCCTCCTCTGTGGAGTCACTCATGTTCCTGTTCTCACACTACACACTGGATTCTGTTCTTGGGGGGGGACATGGTCAGTGATGGCTCTCCTCTGTGGAGTCACTCATGTTCCTGTTCTCACACTACACACTGGATTCTGTTTTTTTGGGGGGACATGGTCAGTGATGGCCCTCCTCTGGCCACCTCTTGGTGGGGCTGGGCTCAGAGTCCCTACTTGTGTACTGCTGGTTTGTAGGAAAGACCGACAGGTACTCTGGTACTCATCCTGGCTCTGCACGACCAGCTGTCACTCACTGTCTAGCCCATGGGCCTCTCATGACCCCCCCCTCCTCAGTGTCCACTCCCTAGTCCCAAATCTACATCCTTTCCCATCACTTCCCATTTCCCATCACTTAGCTTCTTAGGGTTAGCTGTCCGTCCTCTCCCCTAGGACAGCAGCTTCCTTCAGGGTTCAGTAAGGGAAGCGCTTTCTCAAAGTCTGGCTTCCACGTCCTAGCTCCCTGTCGCAGATAAGCTGCAGGAGGGTTCGAAGGGACACAGACAGGGGCATGGTTGTTCTTTCCTTGTGCATTCTGCTACCTTGAGATCCCTTCCCACAAGCCTCTTGGATGTTTGGTTACCCTGTGGACTTACTCATAAAATGCCTACTATGTGCCACAAGGCGCCTGCTCTGCCGTGGGTCCTGGTGAGACCCCAGCCACTCTCTCCCTTTTTTTCCATTTAAGGTCTGTTTTGTCATCCCCATAATGTCAGCTTGGGCTGGCCAAGGGGAGTTCTTGGTGCTCTTCTTGCACTGATTCTTGAGCAGAGTGAAAGACTCTTAATGGATTCCCACCTCTCCAGCAGGGCCATGGTGATGGACATGAAGTCATCCCTGCCCTCGAAGAGCTGGGAGTCCCCACTTGAGAGTCAGGGCCTTCACCTCCACATGCCAGTATTGGTGTTGGGAGAAGTGCCCCACACGTTTACTGAATAAAGGAACAGCTCTGGGTCTTGGGAGGGAAAATGCAATCCACGGCCAGATCCGGTGCTGGGAGATTGGAGGTGCTCCCACCACGGGCTGTTGGGAATAGAGGAGGGAGGTGTGTGAGCCTGGCAACGGTGGGCGACTGTACGTGGCTGGAGGAGGGGGCACTGTATGCTGAGAACCAATGGGAAGCCACAGGGTGGAGATGGAGCAGTCTAAGTCACACTTGAGGAGCACACAGCCCGCTATGTGGCACGGCCATTGTCCCACCCCCGAGCGGTTCTGATTTCTCAGAGATGGACCACAGTTCTAGCTTGTTCCTCGCCAAGTAGAGCCGGGAGAGCTGGCGTGGAGTGTGTGTGTGTGTGTGTGTGTGTGTGTGTGTGTGTGTGTGTGTGTGTGTGTGACATGGGGAGTAAGTAGAGCATGCTGGTGTTCAGCATCCAGAAGTGACAAAGGATGTCCAGGGAGCTGTGGCCGGGCAGCAGTCTGCAGAGATGCTCACCCTGTGATCTGTTGCTTTGATTCTTCAGGCCGCGACTTGGCAAGCACGACCCTCCCCGGGTACCCTCCGCACGTCCCCCCCGCTGGACAGGGCAGCTACTCTGCACCAACGCTGACAGGGATGGTGCCTGGTGAGTTTGCACTGTCCTCGTCCCCACAGCAGGCAGCAGACGGGGTTGCTGTGGGAGGGCACTCTCTGCCCCAAAGCAGCCCAGGTGACCTCCGCGCTTCAGAGAAGCCAACCTGAATAAATCAGCAGAGGCCGACTCAGCCTCTTCCGCAGCAGGGTCTGCAGTGGGGCCAGGCTAGCAGAGGCTTCACTGGGGAGGATATCAGAGGCTGGGTCCTTGTCTGACACTTGAAAAGTCCCTGGCCAGCCACGCTGGGCACCAGAACCCACGGGGGTGCCGGGCCAAGAGTGCAGGGCCAGCCAGTTGGGGTATCCCCTAGCCTTCCTTCCCTCCTCCAGCTTCTCCTTTATTCCTCAATCTGTGTACCAGGAACCATATAGAAACCCCCCAAGGTGCGTGCACTTGGTGGCCTTATCCCTTGAGCGTGAGCACAGTGTGTTTTCGCGACTGGTAGGTTGTTGACGGCTGAGTTTGCCACTTGGACTATACTGAACTCCATTAAAACCTTAAACTCTGTCCCTGCACCAGTGAAGTGTCATTGACCCCAAGAACAGAGCTCTCCATTCCTTAAAGGATGTCCTCTGTTTCCCCCTTCTCCATCCATCCCGTGGACCAGGGTTAGTCCACAGAGCCGAGGGGCTCCTTTCTCCACTCTGGAGGCCCACCCGGGTGGAGCTATCTGTGTTCCTTCTGGCTCTACCTCAGGGCTGTCCTCTTAAAGGTGCCCTAATGGTCTGTTTGTGAACCCCTGATGGTGAGCTCTTGGTGGGGACTCACAGGTGTGTGTGTGTGTGTGTGTGTGTGTGTGTGTGTGTGTGTGTGTACACATGCCAACAAGTGGAGCAGTTTAGGGCACAGGCAAGTGGAGTTTCCCACACTGCCCACCCCGGCAGAGAATATCAAGGAGCCCCGGAATTGGAAGTCCCATCCTGGCCTAGTTGTGTGCGCCGTGTATTTAACAAGGTAGGAGGCTGGAGCATATTTCATTTAACGGTTTGTTAGCTTGATTTATGCTTTTTAAATATGAGACATATGGGAAATGGCCTCGGTGAGCACTCTTGTCCTGGGCCTTGCCAACACCGGGGAGGTCTGCCAGGTGTTAGCGCAAAAGCTTCGCCTTTCCTGCTGCAAGGATGGCCCTGTGGCAGACGCCAAAAAAATGCAGTGCCCAGACGAACAGAGGTGGTGGGCACACACTGCCACCACCACACCCTTGGGCTCCTCATCTGCCAGCCTCTAGCCGTTGAGGCCACAGACCACATTCAAGAACGGCTCTTCACCTTTATGTGGCACTTCCATACCAACAGGCAGACTTCCTTCTCTGTGCTCACACGGAACAGCTCTGTCAGATGGGCTGGCTCGAGGGTGTAACCCCATTTCTCTGAGTGGCTGGGATCCAAAGAAGTTAGCAGACTGCATAGAGCTGCGAATGAGCTCGGCCCCTGGCAAATAGGGTCTCTAAGTCCCCAACTCTAGCTTTTCAGAAGGGGATTATAGTAACCCTGGGTCCTGGTCCCAATTAGAGCCAGTGAAAGAGAGACCACATTGATGGCCCTGCCAGAGCCTCCCCTTCTCCCAGAGAGCTAGTTGAGAGAAGCAGCCAAACCTCATCTGGTTTATCCAAAGTGAACAACCCTTGGGCCCTGCCATCCCTCCAGCCCCAACTCCCAGGCCGCACACACCTGGCTATGGGCTTGCAGAGGCCCCATGGGGATGGTAGCTTCTCATCCAGTAGGGATGGGAGCAGGATTCACAGGACCATCCAAGGGCACAGTGTCCCGTCCATTGCAATGGGAACACAGGGCCTCCGGGACTCAGTCCCTCACCACAGAGGGCAAGCGCACAGAACTGAAGAGGAGAAAGCAAGGACTATGGCTGGGGGCCTGCTGCTCAAGGACCCTGAATTCTTCCTGCTCCGTATCTCTCCCCCTGTTCCTGCCCCTTCACCGCCCCTTCCTCCTCCTAACTGGCTCCGCGCTTTCTCTTGTCCCACACTCACAGCACTTAACGCCAGATCAAGACAGCTTAGCTCTTGCTCCTCAGTGTCCTGGCCACTGTCATGTCCTGTTTCTACGTTGTCTCCAAGCCTGTTTCTTAGATGGCTTACATCCCCAGCACAGAGGCCCTCACCCTTCAGCAGAACAGTGGTCTGGCCTGCCCCCCATGCATTGTCAAAGGCTGGCCCTAGCTAGCTTTGTGGGCCCCTATTCCAGCCCTCCCGGTCCTGAGTCACCCATCTTCATTCTGTATCCTTGGCTGGACCACTTCCCACCTTGGCCTGTTGCGATCCAGCCTCACTCTTCAGGTCTGAGCACAAGCGTCACTGCCCACAAGCTTCCAGGATGCTCCCACCTGGGGCCAGTGTTTTGTGTTCCATGGGCTATGTGGTGCTCTCGCTGGAACCTTCTTAGCCTTGGGTATCATCATAGCACCAAGCAGGCTCTGGGTATTCTCTGTGCGTGTTGGCTAGGGGACGGTGTCAAGGCAAAGCAGATAAACCTGTGTTTTAATTTCCTGTGACAAGTAGAAGAAAATCCTAAACGCAGTGCTCAGAAGAGTGGGAACATTCTCTCACAGCTCTGTAACGAGTCTGAGGTCAGGATCACCGGGCCAAAATGCTGGTGCTGTCACAGTGCCCCTCCCTGGGAAGCCCTGGAGTGGCTGTCCCTCAACTCGTCCAGCTTCGTCCTTGCTGGAGCTGCATCACCCCAAGGCCAAGTCTCTACATCACCCTTCCTTCATATAAGGGCACTCATGGCCCATGTAGGCAATCAGGGTCCTTCATAGCCCAAGGTCCCAACTTCTGCACATCTGCCACCTTGTCTCGGCACTCACAGGTTTCACATAAGGAGCTCACACGTCAGGTTCCAGGGACCAGGACGTGACTACTCTGTGATCTGTTTGAGGGCTTCGATCTTACATTTGTTCAGATTTCTGCCGCTTAACCTCTCGGGTTTCCAAGTCCATGAGGTATTTACTTGACGGGATCCAGTTATCATAGCCATGGGGGCCTGTTGGCGTGTTCTGAGAAAACAGTTGACATGACTCTGGGGGAGCTGTTATCTAGTTTCCCAGCTCTGAGGCGGCCACACTGGGATAGATGGTTTTGCTATGTGAATCAGTCTCCCGTACTTGCCGCAGCCTGCAGGGCAATCTGCAGGGAAACCGGAAACCCCATAGCTCTCTGCCTCCGTGGGCTCTAGGAATCACTTGGCTGTCGCTGCTTTCCACATGTAAGTAGAGCCTTCCATTCATAACATATGCTTTCAGGACACACAGAAGAAGGACTGCCTCCAGGGTATACTCAGGCAGTTGAACTTTGGGATGTGAAAAAAAAAAACCGGGCCCAGCATGCTCTGTGTTGAGTGGCAGCTTGTTGGCATGCCCTGCTTCCTGGTCCTGATGCTGTTACCGTGTTATCTGCCTCCCCTGCTCCAGGACGTTCTCATGTCCAGCAGCACACGGCATCCAGCTCCTCTGAGGTGTTTGCAGACTCCCTTCCTGCAGCCCTTTGCAGATTGCTTACATTGAAGAAAGCAAAGCCCGCATTTTGTATCCGCTTAAGGTGGAGACAGTTTTCAGTTTCTATTCTCATCAAGTCTCAGCAAATGCCAAAAGTTTTGCACCAAAGATTCCATAGTGTCTTGACCGGTGAGTAAGTATCAGACGCCTGCCTGAAGATATTTGTGCAACCTAACAGATATTGACATGGCATTTGGAACTCTTAAGCGCCCCAGGCTGCGGGGAAGGGGGTTCGCTGCCCTTTGGCTTCAGTGAGTCTGAAAACAGGGCAAGCATCTTTGAGAATCACTCAAGGGATCAGGGACTCCCGCCCCAGCCCCTCGCTTGGCTCCCGCTTTGGAGCTGTAGGCCAAGTGCCAGCAGGCCTGACAGTGTCCTGTCTTCCCCAGGCTGTGGCGGGTACAGAAGCTGATAGACAGGAGGCCTGTCAGACAGTGTGAACAAAGGAGCATGGCCTGTCCCCGCAGTCCCCGAGGTCCCTGTGGTCCCCACAGTCCTGGGCACTCTAGTAGTCACTAGTAGTCAAGGATTGGGAAACATTACTTCTAGAAGCCTTGCAATTAAGTTACACACTGAAATGAGAGGTTCTGGTCTCTTGAGGAGGTGGTAGCTGAGGACAAGGGACAGAAGGGGCATCTGGAACCAGAAGGGACGTCTGGAGCAAGCTGCAGGGGTGAGGCAGGAGCCTCCTCTGCTCTGCCCTGATGGTGAGGGACCTGATCTTTCAGCCGCGGCACCTGTGGCTTTCTCAGCTCCTCTCTGCCAGCCTGCCTGGCTCATTCACGCCTTTCTGTTCCTCTCCATAGACAAGCCTTCTCCAGTAACCCAAGTGTATTAATTTCCTGTTCCACCCATAGCAAATTATCATAACCCAGGGACCTAAAACAATGGAAAATGTTCTCTTCCAGTTCTTAAAGTCTGATCCCCAAACAGTCTCATCGAGCCAGCGTCAAGGTGTTGTGTTCCCTCTGGACCCTCGGAGGGGAGAGCTGTTTGCTTCCGTTCTCTGGCTTGTGGCCCCATTGTTTCCATTTAAGGTTGGCAGTGTTGGACCTCATCACCTATGCGGCCATCCTTCTCTCCCGGCCTTCCTCTGTCTCCTGATAGAAGGAGTCCTGTGCTTACCTCAGGCTTATGGTCAACCCAGGCTAACTCCTTTTTCTTCAGGACAGTTCACCAGTGATCTTAATTCTCTCTATCACCTTCGTTTCTCTCTGCTCTGGGGATTAGGATGTCAGGAAAGGAAGGATTTTTCTGTTATGGTGAGACTATGCCTGAATCTGAGTTCTGCTAGCCAGGTTTAAGGGGCGGAGGCTAGAACCTGGCAGGATATGGCCAAGTTTGGCAGGGTCCCGTGTGGTCTGCCAATTTTTACTGGTGGGAGTAACGGACACTTTGCACAGGTGGTAGATGATATACTTCGGACATTTTATCCCCACTTTGTGTAGAGACTCTTCCCACAATTAGAACAGAACCCA